AGAGAAGAGAGAGAGGAGAGAGAGAGAGGAGCGAGAGAGAGAGAGAGAGAGAAGAGAGACGAGAAATGGCAGAAGGCGTCGCGTGACAGAAAGAAATGCAATTCTCGTATCCTTCTGCCCTTCTCCCGGCTGGTATCATTTTGTCGGCGTCCGGTTAGCTGGATGGACCAGTCCTCTCCGTGCTGCGGGGTTGTGTCTGTTCTGCGTGCGTCTCTCTCTCTCTCCTCGCACACACGACACACACACATATCTACACACACACCACACACACACCACCGTCGCGCACAACACACACACACACACACACAGCGGGCACAACACCGCCACACGACCAGTATTTTACACACACAACAACCCACGCACACGATACACGCACAGCACAACACACACACACACCACACACAACACAACAAACACACACAACACACACATACACAACACACCTTACAAACGCCCACCACACACACAAAACACACCACACAACACACACACACACACCACACACACACACACAGACGCACGCAGCACGCACAACTTTACTCTCTATCTACTTTCTATCCTATTATTCTACTTCTATCTATTTATCTATCTATCTACTCATCATTTATTCTATTCTACTATCATCCATCCATATCCATCCACTCTCGGCTCTCTCTCTCTTCTTCTATCTCTCTCTCTCTTCTCTCTCTCTCTCTCTCCTCTCTCTCTTCTCTCACTCTCACTCTCTCTCGTCTCACTGCTCACTCTTCTCGCTCTCTCTTCGCTCTACTCTCTCTCTCTCTCTCCTGCTCCTCGTCTCTCTCCGCTCCTCCTCTCCTCTCTCTCACTTCCCGTCTCCTTCTTCCTCTAACTGACCCTCGACACGTTACCGGGGTTCTCTCTACTCAGCCAGGATAACCGACATTTTCGAATTCCTCTATGATCGGACAAGTAAGACAGCTTTAACCCAGTGAAAGCTAATTTACTGGGTCTTCCCGCCCAGCGTATTCCCGAAAACCCCCCCCCCAATCAGCATACGACAAGCCGACACAAGCGTAATATTACGCCTGATATTATAGGCGTGTTATAAGCTCTAAACTGGTTCCTCGGCCCACCATTGATCGCACAGACGTGAGGTCACGACACTAGCTTTTTATGCTCGCGCAAGCAGCCTGGATAGAAAGTAACCGATGTTAATTGGGTCTGACCGGTTTTCGGCTTTCTTTCGCCTTATTCGTCTTTATCCCGCGCCGCTTTCTATCTCCGGCTTTGGTAGTGTCCGCCACAGGTGGGCAACAAGAGCTGCGTGAGTGAGGGCGGTGTGCCCTTGCTCATCTCTCCATTTTATATATTCTCTCTCTTTCTCTTTTTCTTTTATCTCCTCTCTGCTCCCCTCATTATTATCGCTTCGTTGAGCGAATTCCCGCTACAGAACGAGTGGAGAGAGCGAACGTGTTTTCTTGACCACATCTTACCTATCGTTCTTCTCACGCTCCTCTCCCTCTCTCTTCTCGTCTCTCATATCTCTTCTCAACTGCTCTCTTTTTTCTTTCTCTCTCTCTCATTTCTCGTCATCTCGCTCTCTTCTCTCTCTCTCCTCATTCTCACTCTCCTCACTCGTATACTTGTAAATATTCTATCAATATGTGAATAAATATATTCAAACTTTACCTTGTTTTCGTCTATGATTCTCCCTTAATCATATGACACCACCAATCAATATCTATACCATCAATCTCTATTATCTACTCTTGATATATATATATATATGACTCGAACTTCAAAGTATAGCCAAGGTCGTCTGTCTAACAATAGGAATGTCGGCTGCCACACTTTGTTCTATTGTCGTAGAGACGATGACGACACAACTGTACACACATGTACACACCTGTACACACCTGTACACACCTGTACACACCTGTGCGGTACAGACCTGGATATACGGATGACAGCCCCCTAATCACAGTCACCACGACAATGGTCTCCACACGCCTGACCACATTGCCAAAACTCTCTCTCCCCTGCATCCTCTCAGAGTTCCTTTCATGAACCCTTTCCGGTTCCCTCTCCCTCTCCCTCCTGCTACCTGTGCCGAGTAAATTGTTGGTTTTCTAACGAAATGAACCAATCACACAATAGATGTTGCTGTGATGACAAGTGAACGTTTCCCGCTCGGTGGCGCTAGCAGCTGTGACATCTTGCCAAGCGCGAGTTTCCCTTTCTTTATCTATACGCGCACTCAAAACTTACACTGATAATTCGAATATACACGCATTTTCTACCAAACAAGCTCACGTTTTCTCGCGAGGAAATCGCAGAGGAAGTAAGATTCATGCGATGCATTCTTAGGAAGCTCAGCTAGCATCACACAGGCAAGCTTACCTCATATGAACAAATCTTCCACCACATACACACAAACTTACTATACACACGCACGCACGGACGCACGCGAACTATTGCATGGACTAGTCACAGGTCTGTCAAAGCTTATTAGTTCGCATCCACTACGACCGGAAGCCTTTTACTACTACGCACATACAAGCTGTATTCTGCAACTACTCTTCACACGGAAAAGCATTAATATCACGCGTGAATGGATGGAACCCCGTTTATAATTCATCTCGTGTAGATAAATATATAATGCTGAGTAGAACACGCCAATGAATTTCGCCACAGCCACGACATTCGCACACTAGTGCATGCGCTATAGTTAGATCCACACCAATATATA